CAGTCCCTGTGCTTTTGCTGAGCTTGTTCTAAGTGGGTGCTTTAGACCACTGAGCCATCTTTCCAGCCCAGATCCTTGTAATTTGAGGGAAAGTTATGTTCTGTAATCTTGGGCTATTACAAGCACTTTCCAACTCAGTAGTACTTTATGGTTCAGAAAAATTCATTCCATTCTTATTCATATCTACCCTTGAGGAAGAGGGGAACAAGACCCCAAGAACAGGAACTTTCTGACCATCTGTCACCTGCTGCTTTTGCGATGCTTCCTGGACTAAATAAAGCACGAGGTTGTGTGGTCAGGAGAACCGCTTTGTGACTTCCTTCAGCTTTTCTGCCATCCCAAGATCACAGGAAACGTTCTATCATAAAGTGCTTTTACTTTTATTATTATTGGGGGTTTTTTGTACAGGGAATCAAACTCATAACCTCTCCCTTGCCTGGCAAGCACTGTGTCACTGAGCTACATCCTTAACCATAAGAGCAGTTTTAAAGCCAACGTAACTCCTTACTCATTTCTGTCTGTGAGGCTCCCTTGAACTACATTCCTGTACCATGTATGTATGTATGTATGTATGCATGTGTATGTATGTATGTATATGTGTATGCAGATGTATTGTGTTTATGTATGTGTGTGTGTATGTGTGTGTGTGTTGAGGAATCAAACCCAAACCCTCATGCATGACAGATAAGCACTCTGCCACTGAGTTATATACCCTGCCCCTGAACCCCCAAATATTAATCAGGCCTTTAAAAATATTTAGCAATCCCTAGATCTACACCAAGATCAAGCATAACTTGAGAGTTCTCGCACAAAACCAGACTGGATGCTGGTACTTGGGATGTAAGTCACACTGTCACTCTGTAGGGTCCCAGAGGGCCCCACTGGCCATGCAGGCAGCCCACCCCAGGCCCTCACGCCAGCGTCCTTCCACTTACCAAGCCGCGTGGTCTCTGTGCGCTCACTGGGTGAGGGGGGCTCTTGCTCTCCTTAAATATTAAGAGGCTGTGGCCAGCCTTGGCCTGCCAGGGCAGGGCAGGAGGGAGCCTGAGGGGAGCAGCGCAAGGGCTATCAGAGGCTGAAAATAGCCTGTGAGCAAAGCCCTGAGCTTTGTCCTCCCACACCAACTGGTGGCTCTTGAAGAACAATATCACTGGGCTTCTATTTTAATTGCCAGTTTCCTACAGCACCAGGGGACCCATTTGTGGGGTCTATAATTTCATATCAAGTGGCTGGAGTGGAATAAAAGTAAAGAATTTCATAGCTAAAAATCATTTCTCAGGGCCCCCACTCCACTGGAGAGCCTAGAAATTGACGCAAGTTACCTGCAGATGAATCATGAGCCCTTTCTGGGAACCTTCTGGGATTCTGAGACACAGCCACTGCACTCGTGAGGAGCACTCAGAGCTAAAAATAAGAATGATGGGGGTCTGGAGTGACATGTCACTAATCCCATTAAGCTTTGGGAGACAGGAGAAGGTCAGCTAACCATCAGAAGACCATCACTCTATCCCAGGAAGACTAAATTTTCTCTCAAGTTTTGAGTTACTTTGGTCCCCATTTTTCTTCTGGTTAAGAATTGGGCCCAGCTATACATTATTTTTATCGCCATGATGTCATCCTATAACAAGTCTTGAGAAGTCTCTGTAGAGCCGCTTTAGCCTTGGAGGCCTAGTTTCTTCTTGCCTGGACACCACAAAGTTTGGTGATGATTAAGCTTCGTGGATCCACATGAATCGTAGAATTTAATAGCTAAATCCTAAATTCAGAGAATTAAAGGCCAATTCATCACATAATGGGTGGGAAAGCTGAGGCATCCACGCCTGACAATGGTAGCGCCCAAACTGTAATTCACATCATCTGTTTCCGAGCTTCTGGTACCTTCATGCTGACCTAGAGGTTGAATTTAGGGGTGCCCAGACAACTACAAGGAGCTTTATGAAGGGGAGCCTTTCAAACCCATGTTGCTAGCTCTTCAGTTACATGTCCACAAAGAGCTTGGTTAAAAGACGGGCTATTTCACTGGCAAGAGCGTTGTGATAGCTGGGAGGCTGAGGCAGGAGGATTGCCATGAATTTGAGACCACCATGAGCTACATAATGAGTTCAAGCCTTGGTTGAACTATATAGCAAGGCCCTGTCTTAAAAATCAAAACAGAAAACCATAAAATGAAGACAAAAAGAGAGAGTTGTGTTAATCTCACAAAAATGACTAGGCCACCACTCTCCAGGGGATACCCTTAGTCTACATTATTGTGGAATAATATGTTCACGGTAGAGAGGAGACAGTGATGAATATCTTGGAATATTAAGACTAGCCAGGG